CTAAAAGATAAAGAGCAACTTTAGAACCGTATGAACACGATTAATTTTTAAATTACGCACGAGCAGGTTTATTATTCTTGGCCGGGATATTCATTATCAAAATAACATTACTTGGATTACTGGTATCTTTAACAATTCGCCAACGTTTGGTCTTGTTATTATAGATCTTTGAATGTTCATTTTGTTGTAATCCTAAAAAGACAAAAGGGAAAGAGTATTAACAGCACAAAAAGGAACAACGACATACCTTTTTCGACGAACGCAACCAGCTTATCATGTAAATTTTTGTAAACACCTGGATACAGACGAAATTCTTTGCTATCGGAACGAATTGCTTCTTTCTCAATTTGTTCTACCATTCGATCTGAAAAAGAACAGAGATGTTCGAGGTGAATTCACTAAAACCTTGCACTCACCAAAAGATCCGATATTTGCCTTATAAACAAGTTTAAAGACCATTTTTGAACAATTACAAATGGAACAATCTAAAAAATAAACGTGCAAAAAATCACCTGTTTTAGATTTGAAATTTGAGAAAGAAACACAGAAATCGGACAAAAGGACTTACTTTGTAAGATGTACTTATATTTTCGGTTTCTGTTTTATCTGAATCACCCTTTAAGGATAATTCAACTGCAATTATTTAAGTACTAACGTATATTATCTGAAAGAAATATCACACATGTATGATTCATTTGGTTTGAAGTCCAGAGGAAACGTACAAACGTCCGATATTGGGCTTATAAAGAACTTTAAAGACCAAGATTTAGGACAGTATGGAATTTTAATTACAAGTAACATCTGTCTCTTTGCGAAAATCCACACTAAACAGGCCAAATACGACCTACCTAAGGAAAAATGAGTGTACCGTCCTAAACCTGGCTCCTACAGATCTCGGAGACTTGTTGTTTTGTAGAAGAAGTTGTGGTCTTTCAGATCAAGTGCAAAATAAATTTTTAGAATGGGTTTCCTTAATGGCAAAGGCTCTAAGAAGTTTTCTGTAGAATTTAATTCTCGGAAAACTTGCTAGAAAACGATTAAAATTTGTCAGAAATAGATGAAATTATAGGACTATATGCA